GAGCAAAGAAGAGATGGGCAGTATTTAGACATAGGAAGTTTTCTTAGAAAGACTTATTATTATAAAATAGTAGCTATTATGTACCCTCCCATAACAAAATGGTCCATCTCCATATCTTAACACTGGGCTATTCTAAAATAATTTAGAATAATTTTATTCCATTATTTATGTTGCATAAAATGAATCTACCAGGTGCTGAGAGTTTTTCTTGGACTGTTCAGCATCATTTCTGATGATAAACTAGAAAAGAGAATTAGGGGTCCCTTGCAGAAAAGTGGGGTCCCTTTTTCTTTTTCTTTTTTTTTTTTCTTTCCTTTCATCTTTTACCTTGGTACACATGGAAACTTTTTGTTAGCTATGTAAGCATTCTTTTTTTTTTTCAGATACTAATTTAACTTGGTGATTGTACTGAGAGACTGACCTGTGCTCTGGCATTGCATCTCTTCCATTTAGCGCAGGGGACTTTTTAAAGTTGATTAGCTCATAGCTCTTAAATCTTTTCTTCTCTTCCCTCAGAGATGAAGCTGTTTTTTTAAATCCTTTCTGTGAATGTAGGAGAGGCTATCGACTTGTCTTTCAGTATCTGTGATGTTTGATGTGTCTTGGGCTTCCCTTTGGCTTTCAAAAATCATCATTCCTGTACTTATTTGTCACTGACGTGTAGGCGATACGGCTGCTGAAGCAGCCTGGCAGCGGTTTGGCGGGGAGGGAGCTGGGGAAGGGGGAAGGTGCATAGAGTGTTTTTCGCGCGCTCGGCCAGTTGCATGGGAGAGGGGACGGAGCTGCGAGGTTGATGTGCTGTGCCGTTCCCAGCCAAACATCTCCTAGAGCAGGTGTGGGTCACAGCAGCAGGAGTCACACCTAGGGCGGTGTGACTCATCGAGCCGTGGGCATTATCTGTGGGGATGCAGCTGGATCTCACCGTCTGGGGACAGTGCCTCGCTGGTGCCGGTTGGGAATACTAATCCACGGTTGATCTGTCCTTTTCCGCGTTTTTCCACGCCGATGGGGTGAGCAGGTTATCCTCAGAAGGGATTGCTCCGTGGCGGAGCAACTGAACCTGTGGGCATCACACCTGGCCGGCTTCGCCGGAGAGGCTGGGGAAGTAGGTGTTGCTTTCCCAGCCTGCCCCAGGTAAGTAATCTGATCTTAAACAAAGAAACACAGAGATGGCTGTTTCTTATTTAAAAATACATTAAAGCAAAATCCTTTTTTTGTTTGTTTGTTTTGAAGGCAGAATCGTTGAATATATTCCTGTAGTCTGTGCTTCCCCTGAGCTCCCGGATTTGGGAGTGATAATGAGGGATTTAATTCTGGGCAGCAGGTGCTGGCAGCAGGGATACGATGCAGTGTCTGTAATTGTGTTGTTGGGTTCGTTTTGCACCATCTGGGTGTGAAAGGGGAGGTCGAGCTTTTTATTGTAGTCCTTGGGCATCTGGTACCTTCCTCCTCCTGCTGCGGGTGCAGACGTGTTCAAGGAAAGATGCTCTGTGTGTCTGAGGCACGTAGAGAGTTAACGCTGGTGGGAAGCGTTGCCACTGCTTGTCACTGGGGAAGGGTCTGTTGGGAGGGGAACGAGAAGGTTGTTCCCCCTCCCGCTCCTTTTCCCACTCCCCATTGCCTTTTCCTACCAGCTCAGGGGAGAAGGAAAGTTCATCTTTTAGTTGTCTGGGCTTCCTATCCTAATCGGACGTGCTTTTCTGAGTTGCAAATAATCCGAGCCGAGGAGATGTAAAGCAGCCGCGTGGAGAATGTGACCTGTTGTGCGAGCACTTGTCTGCAAAACAGCCAGGAGCAGGAGCTGTTTTTTCGTGATGTGACTGCCCTCCGGGAAAGGGGACTGACGGCTGACAGAGATTTGGACAATGTGGGAGACATCCGTAAAAGACCAATAGCTGAGTCAGCTCCTTGCTGTCCTTTTATATGCCATCCAATCAGTGGAGGAGGCAAAAAGGCAAATTACATGGTAACAGTGGGGCCATCGGGGTCCATCACTCCAGCGTGGCAGGGCATGGCAGGCTGAGGCTCATGGTCTCTGAGGGGAACATACTGCAGTAATGGGAAGGCAGCGAGAGAGAGGGAGGGAGAAAAATCACACTAGGGAGTATGATTTCCAGCATTTACCTTGTGTAGGTACGTACCTGTTAACCAGACTTTTCCCTCACAGCACTAAACTTTGCACTGTTGCAAGTCAGTTGAGGTATTAGCGTATGTTTCTAGCTGTGTGGCTAAGATGTAATGAGCATCTACAGTTTCTGCAAATTTGCTAAGAGATGTCAGTGTGTCGGGAAAATGTTTCCATTGAGATTTTTGCAGCGAATCTGGAAATCTCTCAGTGTCAATGATGTTATTGCTTTTTTTTTTTTAAGAGGTAAGAAAACCAAGCAGGGTCTCACCACACATGTATTAAGATGCACAGAGCTGGATGTCAGTGTATTGTGCATGACTCCGTCCAGTGTTTGGGCAGCTGGGTTAGGTGTAAGGGTGGGGACAAACAAGTGATGGTACAGTTCACCTGGAAGCCACCACAGGCAAGGGCTGGCACAGAAACAAACCACCCCACTGCCTGAAAAGCTCATGGGGAAAGATGCCTGTTGCAAGGCTTGCCCTGTGCTGTGCGCCGGTCGTGGAGGGATGGAGTGGGAAGCGCTCCTGGGTTACAGAGATGCTGCTTTGGGATGGCAATGGGAGCAGGGCAGCTGGGCCCAGGGGGTTCAGCTTGCTTCGGTAACATGTGCCACTGGAAAGCAAATACTTAGGTAGGCGAGATCTAAACTTGGGCCAGGATGTCCAAACTGCCCATCACATTGAGGGTGTGGGTGGGACCGGTCCAGCGGCACAGGGCGCAGCACTGCTTCACTGGTGTCCATTCTTGTGCTGCTTTTGAGACACAGAAAGTTTTTGTCTTGTTTCTCTGAATAAATGTGCAGCAGTTTCCACATTGCTCCAAACGTGTTCACACCTAGAAAGCAAGGGGATGGTAAAGAAAAGCTAACCTGAATCTTTTATCTGGAGATAGTATTGCCTGATCCTTATACTTAGAAATCAAGAGTCAATTACGGGGAGTTATTTCCTGACTTTGACATAACTTTTCTATTAACCTTGGACAAACCAGGAACTTTCCTGTGCTTTAAAGGGCCCTTTTCTAAAATGTGTATCATGTTCTTGAGCATAATACTCACCTCAAAGGATATTGTAAGAATTAGTGCTCATAAACTGTTTTAAGATTCATTAACACAAATTACCTTGGAAGTCCAAATTAAATTCTGCAAGTATCTTCTACTACTACAAGTTAACCAACATGGTTTTAATATATGTGAGCTTGTGATCAAAAACGTCTAGTATAGATCAGTGGTCCTGCAGGGTCCGAGGACTTTGGATACCACTTTGGTGGCACAGAGGATCACGATACCCTATTAACCGTTCAGTTAAATAGGGCTACAGCACCTTTTTCTTGCAGAGGTGTAGTGGTGGATATGACCTTATAACATTGGAGTGATATTTATTAAAAGGTCACACCCCCGGTATTTAGAAGATGGGGAGTTCATGTGCCACAATCACCCATGCATTTTCTCCTTGTTGCTGGGAGTGTCTTCCTGGTATGAGGATGGAAATTAAATCTTTGTGCTGTTCTGGCGATGATCTCCCTGCCGAAGCTGTTAGCAAAAATGTCAGCACTCGGAGTGGTGGGATTATGATGGGGAGGGGTTTGTACTCTCAGCTAAACCGAGACAAACAAATCAATTTAGGGGGGCAGCAAAGCCATTAAACAGTAATAGCTTTTAGTTATTGCTGTTTTGAGATGGATTCAAAGGGATAACGTAAGGGTGAAAGACATTGTATTCCACTGTCAATCTCCAAGATCATCTAGTTGCTGTACCAATTACCCTTAGGCTATGCAAAGCCTGTAATACCGGTAGCTGATAAGGAGCAGTGCAGTGATATTTCAAGAGAGAGAAAGATGGATCATCTGTACACACACTGTCAATCTTGAAGATGTTTTTCCTGTACTGAAGCAATTAAATACCAAGGTGTGAAAAGCACTGGTAAAGCTGAAATGCTCCCAAACTGGGCAGGTTCTGGATCCTACAGCTCAAAGTGATCTGTGGATACATTTTCTGGAATTATGTCAGAAATCACTTTTCAGCTCCGATGGTTCATTGGATGGGTCAGTGGAGCCCAGGAAGAAGAACATGCTCACTGGTTTGCATTACGAGTGCCAAATCTGAATTGTTTCTGGGGTCAGTGTGGTGTGATGTCAGCATCGCAGAGGGAACATCATTTCTCACTGACAGCAAAGATGAGTTTCCCAATTGCAGGTTGCAGTCCCTCCCAAAGGTGTCCTTGGGATGGTTCAGGGGAGCCTGTGAAGCATTTTATACTCATGAGGGAACAGTCAGCTGCCTTTGATCGCTGACTGCACTCAGTCCTTCCAGGGCAGAGGCTTATGTATTTATATCTGCAGCCAGTAACTATAAACTATTCTTGTTCCCTTGGCCAACATGGGCTGAGCTCCTCTTAGCAGTGGAGGCAGTTAACCTGTCCTTTGCCAATTAAAGTCTGGGAGACCTGGAGGGTAGGAGAGAACGACAGGGAGCCACACCAATAGAGGTTAGGCCAAAAGAGAGTTATGCTTTCAGAAAGTCTTAAGGGGTTTTGTCCCAAACTGGGGGAATGAGGGCATACTGAAAACGTGCTACATCCCTCTGCATTGTAACAGAAGTGCGATGTGTTCAGGAGGCTCTGAGGGTTTTTTGTCACCGCCTTCCAGAGCGATGTGAAGACAAACACTCAGGGAGGAGCTGCTGCAGTGCTTCTGTGTCTGAAACCTAGCTGACAGCAGTGTTGTTTTCTGATCCACAGGTCCAGAGAATGGCATAGCAATAACGTCACTGTCCAGGGAGCTGGGGTCCTTCCTCGCCTGCCTGCATGCTGCTTGAACCGATCCCAGGCCTTTGTTTTTGGACCGAAGAAACCTGGAAACCTTTCTCTGCTAATTCATGAGCCAGCAGGATGTGGTCGCTGTGCTTTCAGAACGCCTGCTCGTAGCCGCCTACAAAGGCCAAGTGGAGAATGTGGTGCAGCTTATCAACAGGGGTGCCAAGGTAGCGGTTACCAAGGTAACAAGAGAAAAACGCTTTGCAAAATCCTTGGGAACTAACATAACTCCTAGACCATTGTCTGGGAAAATGCCCTTGTAGCTTTACCATTCTGAATGTGACTGAGGTTAGTCTTTAGATTTGCTTCAAGTTTATACTTCATAGCTCATGTGAATTTACAATATAGTGCATGTCTTGCATTTATACACTTCCCAGCGGACATATCTGTGGTGAACACCGAGTCCTTAGAAACACAGTGTGTCAGCAGAGGGGCAGTGACATTTTTCAAAGCCCTGCATTGACTTTTGAACACTGTGCAAACTAATGAATGGAGCGATTCATCACTGTCGAGGGAAGGCGGTTCAGAGCGCCCATCTTTCTGGGTGAGGGGATGGGGGAAAGCCACCTGATGCGGTAGGGTAAAGGTACACAAAAAGCATTTCTTGCCGCTGAAGTTTCTTGGTACAGCAGCCTTGCTTATACGCCAACATCTTCATTGATTCATGCCGTGTAGTCCCCAGTCAGTTCCAAACTTCGGGGTTGCAAACTGTGTTCTCTGTACCTTTTAGATAAGGTCGGCATCAAAGGATTTCTGCTTAGATATTAAGAGAGTTCAAACTGTTATTCACCTGTTTCTAACTCTCAACACGTTATAAATAATACTAGCATATATAAGGTGAGATAGAAGTTGCTGCTGCAGAGAAGATTTGGTCAGCAAAAACCCTTAAAAAGAATTAGGTAAGTTAAATCTTTAGAGCTGTAACATAAAATTTGGAACGTCCTGTTTTTATGAACTATTGTTCTCCATTGTTGTGTCTAGTTTTATTTGTATTTCCATATTGGTTTTGAACATTATATATGTATGGGGACTAATATTTACAGATGGAAAGCAAATGTGAGCACGTTTGATAAGTAATCTCTCTTTTCCTCTTTTTATCTGTCAGTGATGGTTGTTTTCAATCCCTTTGCAGTGTTTGAGTTGTAGATAGTATTTATTTTGAAAGCTGGAGTGGTGCCAGGACAATCGGTGTTTGTAAGTTTTGTTTGCCAAAACTAAGTGGCCTCTTGTTGGTAGATACAAAACACAGATGTAATAAGCATGAACGGTCCCATAAAGATGCCTGTTTGGCTCTGTTGTCCAAGCAGCTCTGTAGCTGATGAACAGCTATTAAAGGTAGTCCGTAATAGATTAGGAAATCCTGACTTACTGATGTCTGAATGGTAGCTCGGGGTTTTGTGGCGGCTGTTTTTACTTGTGATCATGAGCTTTGAAACTGCTGAGGGACCTACCTGAAAATACACAAATGATTGAAAGGATGCCATGCTTTGTAGAAGTTTGTGCAGTAATGTAATTTCTAATCCAGCTTCCACGCTGTTTGAACATAAAATGTGCTGTCCTTTGTAATGGTTGCCAGAATAATCATGCCACTGATTTAACTGTTTCATGGATTTAGTTGTCATAATCCAGGATTCAAATGCAAAATTGACACTTTCTCATTGTTGTTGTTTATTATGCAATTATCAGTGCCTTCTGTTAATTACAACAAGAAGGAAACCGTGTAGATCTGGTTTTCAAACACAAAATTTGATAAAAAGCAGATTTGCTAGAGTTGGCAAGTTTTTCTTTCCTGTACAGTATAGGTGGCTTCCTCTTTCTTGCACTTGCTTTATTGTTCAACCCTTGCGTGGAAAATCAAAGAAAAGCTCATTTGGTGGCAAAACTGCGCCCAGGTGCAGAGTCTTGGTGTTTCTGTTGGAAAGCCGTGCTCGCTGCTGAGCTGTGAGGCCATCCCTGTAGCTGACCTGGTGCTACGGGATTGTAGCTGTTCTTTCCTAGAGGTTGTGGGTCATCCGAATGGAGCCCAGGGAGGGGGGGATGACAAAAGCTGTCCTTGTCATTCTGGATGCATCCTGGCACATCAGCAGCCAGCACAGATGAGGTACTTGGGTAGCCTGGTGACAAGCCCTGCTCAGAAGAAATGAAGTCAGATCAGTAGGATAGCAGAGCAGTGCAGAGAGGAGTGGAGAGGCTCTCAGAGGTGCGCCTGAGGCTACGTGTGTGGATTATTTTGAGGTGCTCACGCACTTACGCCTCCCGTGCTGTGAGCCAGACAGAGCTGAGCTCAGTGTGCACCAAGAGGCATGAGACCAAGCTGCATCCCTCATCAAAGCCCATCAGTTCAGGCTCAGGTAATGTCCACACAGCGTCCAGTTTGCATCTGGCTCTCACCCAGCCTGATAGCTGCATAGGGAGAGCATGTGCATATTTGCCTATGAAAGGCTGTATAAACATACCCTGGAAGAGCTTGGCTTGCTAATCTGGTGACACACAAAGACTAGAAGGAGAAAGAGCCGTTTAAAGTCAAGGACAAGGTTGTCACAGGAGCAAGCAGATATAAATTAGTGTCAAGTATGTTTAAACTGGAAATTTGAAGGGATTTTTTAGCCATCAGAGAGCCAGGTTCTTGTGCAGTCTTTCAATAAGCAGAAGAGGCACAAAATGAGAACTACTTTCAGGATAGGGGTTGTTAATTTGGGGATGGAAATTAGATGGCATGCTTATTGTAGCGGAGAATTATTGATCAGGCTTTCAGATAAATTGGAACCCAGAGCTCTCTCCCCTCCCGAAGATAAAACTCATTGTAAACGAAGCATAAAAATAAATTTATTCACGTGCACGCCTTGGTTCTCTTACACCTCTATGTCTTCTGCATTTATTCAAAGTCTTCAGTTTGTTCTGTCAACTTAATTTTAAATTCTAGGGATTTGCTCCAAAGGAAAAAAAAAAAGGGGGAGGGGGGTAGTACTTATCAGCCAAAAAAACCTGCTGAATTCTATCAGAGTTTTGTTGGAAGAAGACATGCAGAGACAAAGCTCTTTGGATGGAGGGAGCAATTTCACACACCACTTTAGGCTTAAAATTTATTTGATACGCATCTGTAAGCATAGACCGATTCTTGTGGAAAAAAAACCCAAACATGCAGAGCCACAGCTTGAAGTGACCAGGATCTAGAGCTAAATGCTAGAGAGTTCTTTGTTCAAACCGGATTAATTGAGCATGGCTTAAGAAAAATGAAGCATATTTTCTGTAACAAACCAAGTACTATTAAATGCTGGATAGCTGGCAAGCTTGTCCAGTTCTATTTTTATCATGTGGAGGGAAGGTCATATGATGTGGTTAATTGCTGCTTCAGTAAACAACAATTCAGCTGCAAAACAGTATTTCACTTTCATCACCTCTAACTATACGACTTCAGAAGAATAGTACGAAAGAATCAAAATTCAATGGAGAACTGGTGTGTCCAGGTACTCACTTCAGCGTTTTCTCAGGGATGCACTTGCTTCGTTTTGACAGCATTACTAACAAGTCATCTGTCAAGGTGAAGTCAGTGGGCTGGTGTACACTCCAGCATCTTCCCTCACTGACTCTGGCGAGGGACGCTGCGGCTCCTTCCAGGGTTGAGGGCTTTTAAAATACGTAAAGAAGAGCTGATGCCCAGCAGGTCACAGCGCTGTTGATGATCTGACGCCAGGGAGCTCAGAGTGGGAGAGGACTGGTGGCCCTGCATTGCACATACATCAAGCACTCGCCCTGGTGCTGGGATCTGTGCCACCAAGCGTGCGGGGTGGTGGCCAAGAGACAGTCTGGATCTCAGTGCGTGAGGCTTCATGGCTCTGCTTTGGGCATTTTCTCAACCAGGATTCTCTGTTCCTGCTCTGCCTGGGAGGATGAAAAGATGATTCCCATTTTTGTACCTTTTTGTCTGACATTCTTCACAGGTGTGAAACTTATAGCTGTTTTCTTTATGAAAAGGGCAAGACAATTCCCAAACAACTGATCATACAAATTGGCTGATCCAACAAGCAGGTGCCTTTATAAAGTATTTTGGTGAATATGCTGCAAAAGCTGGAAAATTAAGAACTGAGCCTGGTATAATTAAGTCTTTTTATTTCATGCAAGAAAACTGATCCCTTCTTTCAGTCCTTTTGTGGTAGAGCTTTCTTTCAGTAAAGTTACTGACAGCTGCATCTTTGACATTTAAGCTGTGGGACTTCAGCTGAGCTGCTCTGCCTTGCTGTCCTCCCAGGATGGGGTTTTCCTTGTCCTGTGTTATTTTTCTTTTGACTTTCTGAGTTGAAACAGGTTAGAGAAAGGGCTGATAGCTACTAGGAGGGGCCCAGGAGGAATGGTAGCAATGACATCTCAGATCAGGTTGGCTCTTCTCTTGATCTTGTCATCAGAACAGTGCCTGGAGGATGGAGAGAAGCGGGATTTTACCTCCCAGGCATCAACTTCTGGTGTATCCCAAGGGCACCTGGCTGAAACAAGGCACTTCCAGGGGAACGACAGCCCTTAATGTGGGCTTGCTCCATGCCTGGAGAAGAAATTTCCAGGTCTGAACCCTCTGCATTACAGCTCCCCAAAACAAAGCGTTACTGGATGTTGAGTTTCACTGGGGCATTGCAGCACGGGGTGTAGCATTCAATAGCGAGAATTAATAGGGCCAGAAAAAGCTGTGTATTAGCAAGCACACAGAGGAGTGTGCCACTTGTCTGTTAAACATGAAAAAGATTTCCAGAGGAAGTCATAAAGGCAGTACAGTCAGTTTTAATGTAATTTGTATAGCACCAGGGGTTTTAAGAATGGTTTTTCAAAGGGAAGCAGAATACAGCTTTTCTGCAGAGTGTAGCATTAAATAACTAGCATAAATAGCTATAAAATTGAATTCTGCAGAGATGGGATGATCGTTTTGAAAAAAGCAGAGAATGCAAAGGTCGTGCTTCTGTTTTGATTCAGTAATTCTGTTTGTTTGATTTGATTTTTGAACTAATCCTGTTACAAACCTGCTATATGGCAACACTATTGTAATGCTGGGGTACTTGTAATCTTGCCATCAGGATTTCAATTTAAGAGCATATTGAGTTCTTAAAAACAACCTTTTTTTTCTTCCTTTTTAAGTTCAGACAGAAACAAAAAAAAGAAATATACTTTGGTGCTTGCACATTTTTATACTCCTTCA